CATTACGTCACGATACAGACCAATAATATCAAACAATGTTATTTGTTGAGCAGTGTGGCGCGTGCGACGCGCGGTGCAGCAAACAATCAACAAGGAAGAGTTGGTTAACGTTGACAACCGCAGGCAAGGCGTTGGTAGGACATTGCTTAATTTGCGGTAACCGAGGTTAAGATGACGGTCCGCACGAAGTGACGGGATGTTAGTTGAAGTACCTTGTATAATGAGAGAGAGAGAGAGAAAGAGACTGGAATTAACAGGTCATTACATAAGTGATAAATATATCGTTTTGTTATATTCGTCCTTTTCTATGTCTCCCATTGTTTACACGCTCACCAGGCAGAAATAATTAGTTGCGTTAATATTTAGTTTTGATGAATATTTGTACAAGTTGCATCTAACATTGTACTGGTGAACCTCTAAACGTGCCTTCATTTCAATTGTATATTGTACGATTTAGTCGCTAAAAGTTCAGGTTTCAGATTCCTCCATAACTTTAAGTATAGAAAAAAAAGGTTATAGTGGCTCCAGGTGGAGGCCGTCCTCGCTGGCTTTCTCAGCCCCGTTAACACTTTCTTTTGAGAGTGACAAACTTTTTTGTTAATCATAATTCAGGGGTCAGAGTGAGAAAGTTGAGACAGGGAGCTAGGAAGGAGTGGTGGTAACATATGGTTGACACAGAGCAGCAGGTGCGGGCCTAATAGCCCGTCCTGTCTCCTGTGCCGCGCCATGCTCGTGTTTCTCCCTCCGTGTTTTATGTTGTTTCGATTTACCTCAGTGAACTGCATGGTGTCGTGACCTACTGGGTATTCAAAAACATTCCCGTTCATTCGTCTGTATTATCCACACATTTATTCATCTGATCCAGATCTTCCCAAACCGAGTCACTTCCAGGTGAAAAATACCTGTTTAGTTAACTGTTTTATATTAACTTTTATACCGCCTGTCTGTTATTCTTAACATTTTCTCTTTTCCCCGCACGTGTTCTCTTTCCTTCTGTCTCTCCTTATTTTAACTCTCGTTATTTTCTATATTTTTTATACCTCTCCTTTAAATGTTACTTATTTGTTTGTTTGTCTCTTTCCTCGACGCAATCTGATTGTTGGCGACAAACTGTACACTAGTGTGGCCGCGAGTCGAGGCCTTCACATCAGGGAGGTTATTCTATATTATGGATAAAGCGTCACAAGAAGATATAAGGTTGACGCTAAGAATAAATAGGTATTTGTTTAACCACCATAACCCTGAAGGACAAGGTTTCATCCCAAAGTTTTTCTCTAAAATATCATAATTGAATGTTACGAAAGTTCCCCCTCACTCCATTCCTAGCAATATTTATATCCTAATACCTCAGAGATTTAGGTGATCCTAACGCAGATCTTCAGTGTTGTATGAAGAGGAAAACCAAGTGTTAATTGTTGATCTTAACAAGTTTGGAAACTAGACACATACGTCAAATACTATTATTGACAGGATACTCGATATAAAATTAGTCAGGAATAACCCGCGTTAACTATGTGGTCCTAGTAACATTTTACAGACTCAGTTAAAAAGCTATCAGTAAATCTCACCAGTCCATATATACTGTAGAGTACAGTATGCGGGGTCAATTAAAATACGACTAAGACCACATAGGTGACACGAGGTATCCCCAGTGGAGGTCACGTTGCCTAATAATAATACGAAGTAGCAGCTTTGTGTGAAATACAACCTGAGACCATTCCCACAGTAAATGTTCAGTTATACCCAAACATACAGGTCATTGCACCACCAAAATAGGTCAAAAAGAGTTTCCCCGTGAACACACCGCAGCTCCATTAATACCTTTCTCTTTAGCCTTGTTACTGGTGAAAGTGTCGGAAAATGTAGAATAAAAACACCGACATCTGTCCAGGTGTTAAGTCAATTAAGGCACCCCCAAATTGACGAGAGCACAGCTGCAGGTTGGCAGATGTTGAACTGGAAGTAGTGAAGGCAGATGTATTTTCTCATGAAACGTCCACACATCTGGTGTCCTTTTGGTTTTATTTTCGCAAGTAAAAAAAGAAAGTTAGAAAATGCAATTGCTTGAACTTACAAACTAGCGTGAGGTGATTTTCTTTTTTACTTTAAACCTCACCATTACTTAAGCTTGTTTATTTAGCTAAACACAAAACGTTAATTTTTGTAGCTAAATTTACATATTTTCAATGGATTTATTGTTCACTACGATGCGTGTATTCAACAGAAATTTTTAATTTTGCCTGATACACAGATGTCTTCGCTGCTGAAATGCCCCACCCATATGGTGGTCTCTGGTGCATTTCTACACCAAAATAAAGAAACTTGAAAAAAAAATGATGATTGCATTACTCTTCAAATTTATCATGTGTTCAGTCAGGTTAATGTTCAAACAATTCTTTCTCCCGTCTCGACTCCGGGTAGTTCTTCCAAAATGTAAATAAACTTAACGAATACTATTTTGATTGAGGTTTTATTGTTGCAGACATTGTGGGGCAAACTTCCGAGAATATTGGTTACTTTATTGTATTATACTGTGTCTTCCAGGCGGTCCATCTGTAGTGTCAGGTATTGTTATCAATGTGGACACAGAATGCAATGAAATACTATAAGATAAATACTATTAAACTGTTCAAATACAACAATGCAACACAGTGCAACATAATATAACAATAAAATGTCATTCACTACAAAATTATTTAATTTAATATACTATAGGAATAGCCGTGTGTCTGTCTAGCTGTCTGTCTGTGTGTCTGTCTGTGTGTCTGTTCCAGGCAGCCGAAACAGCACAATCGTTTTTCATCAAACTTGGTGGAAAAATCGCAAAAAATTCGTAGAGTGGAACAAACCTGGTCCCATGTCGATGGTTTCTTTAGGAAGGCATTAATTAACAATTTCATTTACGATGGAAAATGATGGGAGTCTACAGACTTGGCACACCTTAATTAACCATCCAAGTCTACGGACTTAGCGCACCCTCATTCGCTGTACACTGTCACAAGCGTTCAAACTTTCATAAGGGCACGAAGGGCCCGCGATCACTTGTACTTTACTATGATTTCACAGAAGTCAACTTAAGCCCCCTTTAGCATAACTTGTTTGTTTACTTCACTTTTGTATAGGTGTGTGTGTGTGTGTGTGTGTGTGTGTGTGTGTGTGTGTGTGTGTGTGTGAGAGAGTTCTATTTTATGAGAGAGAGAGAAAGAATGTCTGTCTATGAATGACACCAAAGCGAAGGTAATGTTTTATCATCATGTTCTCATTGGAGGCTGTGCACCACATAGTTATGTTTGTAGTGAAGTTATGTCATTTTAAGTAAGTACTGTACTCTTTCTCTCTCTCTCTGCTTAAGCGTCTGACAGCTCTCTCTCTCTCTAAACCGCCCACACATCCATACCACCCACACATCCATACCACCCACACATCCACATCCCCACTCATCCATACCCACATCCATACCACCCTCATCCGCCAATCCACACTCAATCGCCAACCCACACTCGCCCGCCAATCCACACTTACCCACCAACCCACACTCACCCGTCAACTCACACTCATCAGCCAACCCACACTCATCCGCCAATCCATACTCACCCCCCAACCCACTCTCACTCGCCAACCTAAACTCATCCGCCAACCCACAATTACCTACCAACCTTCACTGTCTACCACCCTCACTGCCCACCTCCTGCCCTGCCCACCACCATAACTGCCCATCACCCCTTACTGCCCACCACCCTCACTGCCCACCACCTTCATTGCCCACCTCCTGCCCTGCCCACCACCTTCACTGCCCATCGCCTTCACTGCCCTGCCCACCTCCTGCCCTGCCCACCACCTTCACTGCACACCTCGTGCCCTGCCCATCACCCTCACTGCCCACCTCCTGCCCTGCCCACCACCATAACTGCCCATCACCCCTCACTGCCCACCTCCCCAACTGCCCACCACCGCAACTGCCCACCACCCTCATTGCCCACCACCTTCATGTGGCCTTGGCTAACTTCTCCGTGTGGGACATATAATATAAAGTGATCTTGAATTATCATACATCGTTATGAACAAAATTCAAATGTAATTTAAGGAAATATCTCAATTTATAGGGCAAATACCATGCCTAGAATGTGAGGTTAACATTATATGCGCGTGAGGGGGGCAGCATCCCCCTCCCACTCTGTCAACATCAGCTTTCGCAACTCTTGACCTCTCATTAAGGCTTTCTGTATATGACATTAATTTAACCAAGGGTTCTATAAATTATTATTGAACGTTTCTATCAACTCGACTTGTGACTTAACAAAACGATTCCTTCCGACTTGGGTACAACACACTCTTTCCTTGGCGTGTCCCCCGAGTGGTAGTAACTTCTCAGTGCGTCCATATACTACTGTACACTCCAGTGTTCCTTCAAACCAACAATAAGTGTTTAATTAATGCTCTATTGGAATTGTTCTGGATCTTCGTCAGATGGAAGAACATAATGCCCTGACTGACATACACTATGAAATAGTTTAGCTGCGATATGACCGAGTAGTCAACAAGATCATTTTTTAAGTATTGTGCGAATGATATTTGTTGTTAACTATATTCACTGAAGACTGGGAAGTTTTTGTCTCGAAGAAAATTAATGAAATCTAGTGGCAGCGTTATTTTCACCAGAACAGAGCCATATGGCTTTCAAAATTTCTAATTTCACTTCCAAAACGCCTGAGAATCTAAGAGAGAATTCGTAGTTAGCGGCGAAACTCAGCCCAAAGTTATCATTATAAATATTACCGCCACTGTACTCTTATGATTACTTTATTAACTAGATACCAACTTAACGTTTAGTTGTTCTAGCCCCCAGACCATGTTACATTATACGACCACAACTGCACCGTCACAAAGAAAACATCTATCTGGGGGCTACCTGCACCACCTTATATTATACACAATTGTACCGTTACTAGACATCTATCTGGGAGCTACCTTGTTGAACTTGATAATAAAAGTATTCATACCTTGGTGACGAGTACTATCCTCCTGTAGGGTAATCCAGACGTGATACTGTAGGAGGTTCTTGGTAGGCTGGAGTATGGTATAAGAGGTTATGCTGGGAACAAGAAGAAAAATAACTTTGTAAATATGTCTGTATAACAGGATTGTATAATATAACATTGTTTGGTGTGTTTCTGTACGTCTTTCAGTTTCTCATCGCTATTTTTTTCAGTATGAGAATGTCATCTGATACATAAATTCATCCATATCGGTGTTGTATGGTAGACTGAAAGGCTTAGGTGTAAGTATAGGCATTGTAAGTGTTAAAGTTTATGACCAGTAGTTATCTTTTATGGTGAGTAATAGTTGTAGCTGTGTGACTCCTTGGCTGGGTCCTAAGGTCTGAGTTTACTCGTGTGTGTGTGTGTGTGTGTGTGTGTGTGTGTGTGTGTGTAGCTGTGGTTTACCTTGAAGTGTGAGTCAAAGAGAGCAGTGATTATTTTCTTAGTTAAGAGTGTGGCTAAGTGTCTCTTAGCTATGGGTAATCTTTTTTCTTTAGCTGTGGTTGTAGTTAAGTGTGTTTTAGGTGTGTGTCGTTAGCTGTCTCCTTTCTGTGAGTATAAATGTGTGTGTGTGGTCACTGTGCACGTACTTATTTGTGTGGTGTCTAGGAGTGTGTATCAAGCATGAGCGCCGCCAGAGACGCTCCACCAAACACACAAGACACGTGCTCCTTCTGCCGAGTCTGGCTGACGACTGATCACAGCAGTTTCCACTCTCCACTCTGTCACTCTCTCGAGGAAACGACACCCACTTCTTGACTCCCTCCTCCTCCACTATCTCAACCACCGTCCTCCTCCACTATCTCCACCCTCAACCACCGTCCTCCTCCACTATTTCCACCCTTAACCACCACCCACCTCCAGTATCTCCACCCTCCTCCACTATCTCTACCCTTCACCACCGCCCTCCTCCATCACCACCACCCTCCTCCATCACCACCACCCTCCAACACCACCACCACCGTCATGTTAACTAGACAACACCGGCTATGTGGTATGAACTCATTCATACATAAAATCATTGTAAGACAAAAGTAACCATAACGTTAGGTAAGGTAGAGGAGTGTGTTACAATATGTGTAATACAACAAAACAACTCTCTGTATATATGATTAAAAGAAATTTATTTTAGAGATAAAATGTTTAAGGAGTCTGGCTGTTCGCTGGAGAGTTTCTCCTTGATAGCCAACATCGACTCTTCCTTCAACAAGAGTTACGTGGGGGTGATCAGCGCGTGGATTAATTAGGTGCCGATCTGTTCTAAGTGACACGCCTTTACATCAGTGACACTGGTTTTATAGACTACAGACGTCTGAGAGTCCTTAGGAATAACACCTTTGAACCACAGCAAACTGTCAATAGTGAACCTGGACGTAAATTCAACTCCAATCTTTAACGGGATAACTGTCATTCAGTGATATAGTGTCTTTCATTTATGAGTTAATAACTTCAAATATTACGATACAAAGTTTCACAAGCGACCCACAACACAACACTATTTCCTTCCATAAACTTTGATAAATGGATAAATTGTAGAATTAATGTCCTTACTGTTAATACGACGATCAAGGTCCGCAGTCTCTCGTCCGATTCCCGGGCACTCCCAGTTAACCCACTGTAAATGGGTACCGGACACTTCCAGTTAACCTAGCTGTAAATGGGTACCGGGCACTCCCAGTTAACCCACCTGTATATGGGTACCGGACACTCCCAGTTAACCTAGCTCTAAATGGGTACCGGGCACTCCCAGTTAACCCAGCTGGAAATGGGTACCGGGCACTCCCAGTTAACCCAGCTGTATATGGGTACCGGGCACTCCCAGTTAACCCACCTGTATATGGGTACCGGACACTCCCAGTTAACCCAGCTGTAAATGGGTATGGGTACCGGACACTCCCAGTTAACCCACCTGCTGTTAATGTAACCGACGCTCCCAGTTAACCCTCTAAATGGGTACCGGGCACTGGTAAATGGGTATGGGTACCGGACACTCCCAGTTAACCCACCTGTATATGGGTACCGGGCACTCTCAGTTAACCCAGCTGTAAATGGGTACCGGGCACTCTCAGTTAACCCAGCTCTAAATGGGTACCGGACGCTCCCAGTTAACCCAGCTCTAAATGGGTACCGGACGGTCCCAGTTAACCCAGCTCTAAATGGGTACCGGACGGTCCCAGTTAACCCAGCTCTAAATGGGTACCGGACGGTCCCAGTTAACCCAGCTCTAAATGGGTACTTAAATTTACAACTTGGGGAAGTGAATGTGATAAGAGTGCAGCAGCAGCCATGCTGCTTCCTTGTGTACCGAAGGCTTATACAGTGTGCTGTCTCCACATTCTCCTTACCGGGACAAAGGATAAAGGCGGAAGGAGTTGATAAGGTGGAGGAAATATTGATAAGCTTGGGTGAAGAAGGGTGCAGATGGGGGAGGAGGACAAGGGGAGAGGGGCTGGAGGTAGAAATAGTAAATACAAAGAAATAAAAATATATTCTTTTTTTTTGCTATATCAAGGTAAGATACAAAGGAAGATTGACTTAAAGAACAAGACGAACTTACAGACGAAGACCAACAAACAGACAGTGTAAAAGTCAACATATGCTTCATTGCAGGGAAAAGTCGCTATCTAATTTGGTTGCTGGTATTGCAGGTCGCTCGTGTTGTTGTTCGTTGGTAGTGTTGGTCACTGGTGTTGTTCGCTGGTAGTGTTGGTAGCTGGTAGTGTTGGTCGCTGGTAGTGTTGGTAGCTGGTATTGTTGTTCGCTGGTATTGTTGGTCGCTGGTGTTGTTCGCTGGTAGTGTTGGTAGCTGGTAGTGTTGTTCGCTGGTAGTGTTGGTAGCTGGTAGTGTTGGTAGCTGGTATTGTTGGTAGCTGGTAGTATTGGTAGCTGGTAGTGTTGGTAGCTGGTAGTGTTGGTAGCTGGTAGTGTTGTTCGCTGTTCTTGTCGAAGGCTGGTGCTGTTCTTATGTGAGGCTGAAAACAAACATAACTGCCCAGGAAACAATATTAATGCAATTGACTGAGACAAGTATAAGAATATTGTACATCTTATTAAACGTCTCCAAAGTGAGCTCTACTGGTGGGTGATATTACCGATATGTTGACAATATTTAATCCCTCTTTATGGTATAGCCGAGTCGCGATAGTGTGGCGACCCCAGCACTTATAAAACCCTTCTGTCTGACTTCTTCCCGCACGTGTGAGGATATAAGAACTATCGACTAACTGCGGAGAAGAAAACAATAATAGTAATGATATTAACAAAAACAAGTTGCAGGAGAGTAAAATACTTTAAAAGAATTAAGATATATTAGCAAAGATTCACCTCCCAAGCCAATGGTCACGAGTTCGATTCCCGATCGGAGTGGATGACTGGGTTCCCTTGTGGACTCCCAGCAAATGAATGCATAATTGGATCAATCTGCGTGTGCTTCCTGACGGTGGTGGAGGACCAGCAGGTTGAAATACACATTAGGTTTCGAGATCATTGAACACGAACTCACGTAGTACATGCAGGGAGGAATTATGTACACTTAAAAACCTTCCTCCTATAGGACGGCGTCGTACAGTGTACAGTAGAGCCAGCACGGTTTTAAGAGTCAGGTGGGGAAGACTTGTTACCAAATTGTTGGCGAGAACCTCACCTGCTGGCTCGCTCAACCGATCATGCACACGGGAGCTTTGGATAGGTGAGTGACCTAATTATGTTTATTCGCTCTCACTCATATTAATGATAATTAAGGCAGTGTTTCACACGCACGCTCGTTTACTATTTTGTGGTCCTCCCGTCAGATGCACAGACTGTGGTCCTCCCGTCTGGTACACAGACGGTTCCTCCTGTCAGATACAGAGATTATGATCCTTCCGTCTGGTACAGACTGTTCCTCCCGTCAGATACACAGACTATGATCCTCCCGTCTGGTACACAGACGGTTCCTCCCGTCAGATGCACAGACTATGATCCTCCCGTCTGGTACAGACTGTTCCTCCCGTCAGATACACAGACTATGATCCTCCCGTCTGGTACACAGACGGTTCCTCCCGTCAGATACACAGACTATTATCCTCCCGTCTGGTACACAGACTGTATTCCTCCCTTCTGGTAAATATAGACTGTGGTGTCCCCGTTTTACGCCCAAAATGTGTTTATCTTCTCTGGTACACAAACTGTAGTCGTCCGCTTTGGTCGGTCACCTCACTCCCACTCAACCGGACCAAAACATTTATAAAGTTTTTTTTTTACGGGAATTAGCCCACCCGGGCACAGGTCAAACGACCCACAACGATAGATAGAAATAATTAAGTAATGTAAGTTATTAGCAATATACGGCCACAGAAGCATAATCAAAACTTCCGCAAATATTATTTGCAGTTTATTAATACACAGTATAAGTGTAAATTCTTGTCATGCTAACTTGACTGAGGTAACAAGAAGGATTAGGACGAGATACACAGGATAATTAAGGTTATGTAATGCGCTGTATAGTGTATGGATGAGAGTTGAGGTATTCGTTTGTGTCTTTATGTGTATTTTAATGTTGGAGTAAATGTATGAACGTGCATGTGTGTGGTTGAGACCCCCACATAACATCATCTCTCACCCCCACTTCGTCTTCTCCACCCCTTTCCTCGTCCCTCTCCCTTCACCCATCCCTCTCTACCTTTTCACTTTTCCTCCTTACATCACCACTCCTCCCTCCCCCTTTCACTGTTTCTCAGTCCCTCACAACACAGCCTCACAGCTGTTACCTGCGTTACTTTCACCTAATAAACAATAATTACATGTTGGTTTACCTGAGAGAGTCTGCATGATGCTGCTTCCCAAGTTTCTGTCACAAACTCACAAAAATATGTTTATTTTTATGTGCAGCTATTTTAGCTGAGAAAATTTGATTATTTGTTTAATACTTCAGAAATAATTAATACTTGTCTTGTAACTCAATGACATTACCGGTACAGTATTGGATTGTGTTCATGTCTATTTCATAACGTTTTGTGCTGTGCAGACAAAATACCAACAAGCTATAAAGTTGTAACACACGAGTTAGATAATAAATAGCTAATATCATTGCGCTACAGATTCAATAAAGTAAGGAAAATTAAGGCTCATGGTATCGAGGGGAAAGTTTTAAATTGGATAAAATCATGGCTCACCGATAGAACGCAGAGGGTCAGCGTAGATGGTTTTAAATCTGAGTGGGGCCGTGTAACAAGTGGGGTTCCCCAGGGGTCAGTACTGGGCCCACTCTTGTTCATAATCTACATAAACGATCTTGATACTGGGATCAGCAGTGACATAAGCAAGTTTGCGGATGACACCAAAATAGGGCGGCAAATTAATTCAGGGCAGGATGCAAATGCATTACAGGAGGATCTAAATAAACTGCAGGGGTGGTCTGAAAAATGGCAAATGAAATTCAACACCAGCAAGTGCAGCGTACTTAATATTGGAAGAACAAATACTTATAATGTATGCAGCCTTAACAACATCAACCTAGAGAAGTCGACTTGTGAAAGAGACCTAGGGGTACTTGTAAGCCCGGACCTACGGCCTAGAAAACAGTGCGTTAATGTTCGAAATAAGGCAAACAGAGTATTGGGTTTTATATCTAGAAGTGTAAGTAACAAGAGTGCAGAGGTCTTATTGCAACTATATCTTGCACTAGTCAGGCCGCACCTCGATTATGCGGTTCAGTTCTGGTGCCCCTATTATAGAATGGATATCAATTCACTAGAGTCGGTGCAGCGAAGAATGACAAAAATGATTCCGGGACTTAGAAACCTTCCATATCAGGATAGGTTAAAGAAACTTAACTTGCATTCCCTAGAAAGACGAAGAGTGCGGGGAGATATGATAGAAGTATTTAAGTGGGTGAAAGGAATCAATAAAGGGGATATAGATAAAGTTCTTATAATATCCGAGCAGGATAGGACTCGGAGCAACGGATTCAAGTTGGATAAGTTTAGGTTTAGGAGGGAGATAGGAAGAAACTGGTTCACAAATAGGGTGGTGGACGAGTGGAACAAGCTTAGCAACTTTGTAGTAAGTGCTGGAACTCTGGAAAGTTTCAAAAGAAGGCTAGATAGATTCATGGATGATAGAGAGTGGTAGTAACTCTCGACAGGAGCTGCCATGCACAGGCCTATTGCAGACTCCTTATTTTCTTATGTTCTTACGTATATCATTACGCTACAGATTCAATAAAGTAAGCAAAAAAATATTTCCTTCGACGAACCTCAAAAGCAGCCCATTAATTATTCCTTTACCTATCCGTTGCCTTAAGTAAGGTAAAGTTATCCCTTTTCTTATTAGGGAGGAGGATGTATGTATGCTGCTGAAAACTGTTGTTCAGGTGGAATTATATTCACCATAAACTAGTGGTAAAAATAGTCGAGGGCACACTACAAATATTCTATCCATGTGATGTCTTGACTGTGGAAGACGCTGCAACATTGTATATGTGACCATTCTGGGTGTTATGGAAACCTTTGTCCATCCACTTTGAATTTTATTTAATTCAAATAACTATAATTAGCCCACTGGGAGCGCCCTCCTTGATTAAAGTTTGATGGTTGATTCCATGAGGGTGAAATTTAATTCCTGTAAACTGTTTTTCGACTAAACCTTTTGCAGTGTGGCTTTTACTGATAAACTACGCGTAGTAATTACAGAATCATCCCCATTTGCACTTAATGACAAACTTTCATAGAACACCAAATAAGTGTCTTGATAATGACACGCGTGTGGCGAGTGAAGAAAGAAGCAAAACATTATTTACTGTTACTCTTGCGATTTAGTCGTGGACCAGTGAGTGGAGTGGATTAGTTTCAACAAGTAGTAGTGCATGAGACAGACAATAAGACATTTATTCAAAAGTTTACTTGTGTGAAAGGTCAGAATGGTCGACTCCTAAAGTGATTAAAAGATTCAGTTTTGAGGATGATAGTTATATGTCTACTCGACGATAATAATATCTTGGACATGTTTCGAGAGGTCTTATTAAGATGACAACTGTTTTATTTGTCTCACTGGCCCCTTCAGGCCTTTGACATACAGAATCATGATATACTATGTGAAGATTGCTGACTGGTGCAAGTCCACCCCTTAACAACAGTCCAGCGGATAACTTTATCCTCTTCCTACTGATCAAGCTGCTTGGCGACCGGTCACGTCAATGTTGCACAGTGTTGGCGGGTACTCGTGACTTCTTCAACCTATAGTAAAGTTAAGCTGTGACCTCTCGTGAGCCGGGCATCCGACAGCCCCAAGTAATGAACACTTCATTTTTTTTTTACGGGAATTAGCCCACCCGGGCACAGGTCAAACGACCCACAACGGGGCCTGAGATGTTTATAAACTTGTATTAAATCACCCCTTGCCCACCTAGGATATAAGCTAAGCAATTACAGGCGTTGTTATCTTGAATGCCTCTCATAGCGGGCTTCACACTGCCTCTCATAGCGGGCTTCACACTGCCTCTCATAGCGGGCTTCACACTGCCCCTCACATCACGCAGGTGTCAGTGTCTGTATATGAGACTTGTAAACCACTTATATATTTTAATATTAATTTAATTTTAATTCATTATTACCAGTTTATTTTATTATAAATATCTATTAATAAAGGTAACGTACATAATTTCCATACGTTATCTTGTACAACGTAACAATAACAACAATGATGGCCGCCGCCTTAAGATTGTCTGCGGCTTTACGTCTGGTGCTAAATGGGTATGTTGGAACCATTGTGTCACTATAACCATGATCTATGATTAAAGTACGTCAGTAGACATGATGGTGTGAGGCACAATGATAGTTTCTCTTGTAGGGTATCCCGGTCGTTGTGTTCCCCTGCCTAGTTGTTGTGTTCCCCTGCCTAGTTGATGTGTTCCCCTGCCTAGTTGCTGTGTTCCCCTGCTTAGTTGATGTGTACCTCTGTCTTGTCCTTGTCTCCCTCTTCCTAGTTATTGTGTCCCCCTGTCTAGTTGTTGTGTCCTAGTCTTGTAGTTATGTCTCCCTGCCGCTTCGGACTCGTCATGGTAATATCTTTATCATATTTTAACTACAGTAGTATAGTATTATAACTAGTTACTGTATGTTATGAATTTGACATTCTTTTTCAGATATGCTGTACGACCTCAACATCATGCGCGAGCATTTTGTAAGGCTCCACCAGATGATGCCAAGCCAGTGGAAGAAGTCAAGGAATCACTTACAAAAAAGCAGCAAGAGAATGGAGACAAAGTTATAATACTCCAGAGACCTGAAGACTCTCTTATAGATGAGAAGCTGCAGCAAAATACTAAGAAGTGTGAGGAGACTCCCATGAAAGACAGACCACAAGCATTTGAGAATGACAAGGAAGAGAAACCTGAACAGTCATATGATAAAAAGATCATATTCCAAGTGAATCATGACCACCACACAAATGAGAGGCAAGAAGCATCCCAGATGGGTGAGTTGCCAGTCACTGAAGGCAAACATGATATAAACACTGACTTTTCCTGTAATGAAAAACAGGTTAGGTCTGAAGATGAGCTAACAATGCCACAGGATGTTACTGTGTCTGCCTCTAAAGAGGAACAAGTGGTGAAGGAACATTCCCCAGTAGAGAAGTCAGATGACAGAAGGGCGACAGCTCAGAAAAAACTACATGATCTTCTTACATCATTGGCTTCAGTAAGATGGTTCTTCACCCTTTAGTTTAAGTAACTTTAATATTATTTTAACTTTTGCTCCATCATATTACTTCCTATATTATTATCAGACACATCTAATACATACTGATACAGTACAGTCTAGTTAGAAATTAATTCATCTCTATTTAGATTTTTCAAAACTATCCTGAACCCTTGGTAATTTAATGTTCACAAATTCAATAATTATTGTTGATACAGTTGTCTCCAAACAACGTTATGTTACTCTCACAGCCATGCCTCCCAAAACATTTTTCATTCAGAAAAAATCACAAATTCATAAAAAAACATAAAAACAAACAAATACGTACATTTTAAATACAATTGAAAGTTGTGTGTCCCCATCAGACATCAACTGATCACCCAACACCAAGCCTCAGTACTGTACTATAGGATCCCACGTGATAAACAAACAAGAATATAATTGTATGACTACAAATAGAGGTACACTATTGGGCTATTGACTGAATGAGAACTTCTTTCTTCTGGCAAATGAGATGACTCAGTAGAAGCTGCTGGGACATAAGCAAACCAAATTGACTCACTTTTAGAGAACTTTCAACTTCAAATTAGATTTTACTTTATTTTGATATTTGTTTAATTTAATGCATACTGTGATGTTTTCATTGGTTTTTTTTTTAAGTAAACCAAGCATTCAAGTGAGTGTGTGTGTGGAAACAAACTCTAACCTAACTCGGGGAAGAAAATCTCAGGTGTACTGACATCAGGTTTTGTGGTCTGTACCTGTAGTATTTACTATTAATTCAGTGCATTACCTTTTTTTTATAAGACTTCATTCATTAAATCCACTTCATGTTGATGGAAATTTAGTTGTAGTGAATGAAAATGACTTGTCTTTTATAGGCAGATCCTATACCAGTGGAGCCCATGGTGAGGCTCTCCAGGCCAAAAGCTCGTCAGAAGAAAACTGGGACCTTCAAAGAGCAGAAGAAAGCAACTGAACAGCCAACTGAATCAGTCATTGGTAATTTGCATTTTTTTTTTATAATACAGTAATAATAATAATAATTGGTCGATTTGTTTCTCAAAAGTCCCAATTCGTCTAATGACTTCACTAGCGCTTGATATACGACAAAGTCAAGGACTTTTCAATAAAAAAAGAAAACAAACAAAAAAGTAACAGTTCAACTTGTATCATTCGTACATTCTTTTTTCATCATCATCATCATCACTGTTATATGGCCATTACACGGTTAGCTGTGATTACCTGATGGCTGTTTCCAAGTTCATAATCTCTTGTTGGTTCTTATCTCTCACACCCTAACCTCATTTCATTCTTGACTTACCCCTAACATTCCTCTCCTCATTCATCTCTTGACCCAAGTGGCTCCTACATTCTCTCCAAATATCCAAACCATCTCGGCCTACCTCGTGTAACACCTCGCCTGTACCGACACTCCTCGGTTAACACAATATTGCCCGGACATAATTAGAACAAACTTCACACAACACAATCAATATTCAGTTTAACACAATCATTAGATGAATATATAACAGACGTATTGTGGACAATTTCTAAAGTCACCAAAAGTAAATGCAGTTACAGGACTGAGAAAAAAGACATTCTCTAAGGTACTGTACGGTACCTTGGGAAGCTGTTGAGACATTACAGGTACGTATATAAAATGTATATTAAACCACAGTGTGTGTGTCAGGTCTGCAACACATCATGGTGGCATTGCAGTTGCGTTTTCAAAGATGTAATAATAATTTTGTTTTACTGTTATAAGGGCTGGCAGAGCCTATATACATCAAGTATACATCATATTGTAAAGTCTGGAAAAAATGGGTAAAAAAAAAAGTAAAATATTTTATATCTGACATTCTGTATTGTGAGAACCTTAATCTTTTTTTTTCCTTTATCATTCCACCATCATGTTCCTACATGTCTGACTGGGCTCTTCATCCAGGCACAGATATTGTCAGCCTCACTTTACACACCAACCTTTAATGTGACCCAGCATCTCATTATACTACCCCTTTCCCTCATACTGTCTGGCCATTTCCACTCCTCTCAACTCAACATAAAATACTTCCTTTACATTGTTGCTTCAATTTGCACTCTTTCCATTTCAGAACAAGCACCTTCTTCCTTTCTCTGCTCCTATTTTATGACAAGTCACACACATTGTCAGACTAACCCTGGGTCCAAAGATTCATAGATATTTGCCCTATAGTTATAAGAGCTGTCTGACTCGGAACTTTACCAGACAATAAGATTTCAGAATCAATCATTTATTTGTTCATATTTAAGGGCTTGAATATTTTCTGTTTTGTGAACCTGTTGGTATTTCCTCTTGATGGTTATGATATGAGTGTAATTTTGTTTGCCACATGTTGGTTTAAATCAAGAACAGTTTATTTGAACTAAATTCATATGATTAATTTTCTTTCAGAACCTGAACTTGTGCTCGCTACAAAAGAAGTGGCCGAGAGTCTAGGTGGTGACGTGGAGACCACCGAGTCGGAACTGTTATCTACTCTGAGATTACACTCCACAAGTACATCATGTGATGACAAACCTGCCATTCAACTGAGGTATTCATCTCAGTGTTATTTAAGCTAACATACAGTCCTTAGTTTTTTAACTGAAAACCATTCGAAAAGTGATTACGGTAACATCTTTTGAACGAAAGAAAGCGAAAGTCATTGCTTTCGTAACGTTTTATCCCACTTTCCACTGTAATACGTACGTCATTTCAGCAAAATTATTACATTTCCATATTCTCAGAAATAAATAGTAGTTTTGTTGAAACGTAATGTATTTCAATGTAAATGAGGATAAACTACATGAAAGCAAAAGACTTTACCTAACCTTTCGATATTCAAGATATGTTACTCGTTTTTTTAATAGTTTTCGGTTAAAATACTCTTATATTAGTGATATTCTATTCATACTGTGCTTGATATAATACATTCACGGAAATGTAATATTTTTGCTGAAATGATGTACATATTACATTGGAAAGTGGGATAAAACCGTGACGAAAGCAATGACTTTCGCTTTCTTTCGTTCAAAAGATGTTACCGTAATCGCTTTTCGAATGGTTTTCAGTTAAAGAACTGTTGTATTACAATAATATTCCCTCCTAATTGACTTGAATAAATACTTGAATGGAAATATACAATATTTTTGTTGAAACTACCTGCGTTTCAATGTAAAGTGTCATAATAATAAATGGTAAACAATTTGCCTTCGGCACTCGGTGTTTCAGGCACGCCGAGCCTCAGTTTATAGAATGTAGAGCGTTTTTACTGAAGGTTTTGTTGTTCCATTACCCTCAAAAACTTGGGTCGACCTATAAACAAGGAATATCATAAATTCACGATTTTTTGGTCAAAAAATCAGGGTCGATCTACAATGCTGATGTCAACTTAAGCGTGGTTACAGCGAGACTGACTGAGTGAGGGAGCGCGGGGTGGCGTGATGCGTGTGTGTGTGTGTGTGTGGGGTGGCTGGCGTTGTGCGGTGCCGCGCGATTTGAATGTACTTCAATTACTTCAATGTACAGAATATTCCTTCGGCGTGGCAATCCGCGTATTTGCAAATCCATGTATGCTAAACCCGCGTATGTGAAGGGCTGACTGTATATATATATATAAGAAAGGAAATGTTTCTCAACGGCTAATTGACTGTTTCTATTACCACAACTTGTGTTATGTTTGGTGGACAGAAACCATGTGAGTAAACTTACTTCAATCAAAGGTTTTCTCTTATATTTTTAATTTCTTTTTACTCTTATCCCCCCTGGCCCCATTGTGGGTCAATGACCTGTGCCTGGGTAGGCTATTCCCTGTTTAAAAAAATTAATAAATAAATAAAAAACAGTATCAGACATTCCTTGGCACAATTTAAAATTTTTCTATGATTCCAGTGACTTGTTTGTGGGTATGAAAGTAGAAAGAAACCCAAGGAAGCCAGTCAAAGACTTACCCCGCCATAAACGGTACGACCAAGATACTCAACAGTCAAGTCCAAGAAGTGGTGTGGAGTATCAGAAAATGTGGCCAAGGGCTACTGGTAGACCTGTACCCAGGTTAGTGGTACTGTACAGTAACAGTCCTTATTATGTTACATATTTTCTCTTATGTTTGAATTGGAACAACTGACATGTATTTTTTCATAGTCTATAAATCTTGAGTTCACTCAGAGAGAGTTCACAGTCTACTAAGTTTGCCCAAGATCTGCTCACCGGGACTCCTGTCACGTGTGATTGGTCTTAAATAGACAGGCTTTTCAGCTATCTAATCCTGTCAATTAATCCCTAATTCATCTTATCTTTCCCTAATATTACCGCTACAGTCATTCGGATGATAACTGGAAGCATCGGTTTAAACAAGGGATGAAGGTTTGGAAGTGCTACATATTATGTGTTCAATCCTAACCACATGAGCCTTGATTACCATATTTCCAGGCCGATAAAACGCACTTTATTCCCTTAAAATCACCCTGCATCATATCTGTCGAAGGTCAATTTTAAGTTGGGAAGTTCTGTTCCAAAAAATAACCTCCAGAAATGTAAAATACACTCCCCAAATGACCCAGAAATATTACACAAACTTATACTATGTTTTGATAATGAGAAAATTATTACTGTGTAGACTTAAAATTGGTATGATGATTAACTTATAAATATTACGGGGCAATAATTCTCATACTCAGGGAACATTTCCTTTTACTGTCATCTCATATATCTCTGATCATCTCTTCACTTTAAATGTTCCATACATCCAAGGTGCTTATCTTTCTTCTCTCATCTTTCTCTGACTCCTTCCCTACCTCTTTTCCCCACCCACCAGCCCCAGGAGGTAGAGGTAGTGCCCCTCACCAGTGGTTCCATCCCTCCCCCCCATGTGAGGAAGTAGGTCGCTGTATTCTACCTCCACCTGGCTCACTCCTCCTCCCATTCACTCTATCAATTTGTATAAAACCCAAGGTAAATTGTTTCTCTTACTTTGACAACACAACATACATATATCGTTTCTCACTATTAATCTTTTTTTTAATTTTGGTATTTATTTATAGTTCTTTATTCTTATTATGTTGTTGTTATTATTTTATTTTTAATTTGGTATTTTTTATTATAAATTTTATTTACTATGAACTAATTATTATTATTATTGTTATTATTATTACATTTTTGCCCCCAGACCCCGTTGTGGGTCAGTGATCTGTGCCCAGGTGGGCTAATCCCTGTGTAAAAAAAAAATAATAATAAAAAATATATAAATAAATCCATGTACAGTAAGTGAATGAACACTTACAATTACATTTTTATTTTTTTCAGAACACTGGCTCGTGTTGAACTTTTTGGCACCGAGCATCTTGATATTTTTAATGCCAAGTCACTAGAGTGCAAGAAAGAAGCAGTGCCTACTAGCACTTTACTGCCAGTGTGGGAGGTTGCACACAAATGGGAGCTGCAGCAGTCTGTATCCCACCCAAATGACAATGCTTTCACTGAAATGATACAGTGGACAAAGCAAGGCAAATTATGGACATTCCCAATTAATAATGAAGTTGGTAAGACTATAAAGTTCTTTGTTCTATTCTAGGAAATTTTCTTCATTAAAACGTTTGCCCAAACATAATATGCATGCACCTTATTTATGGTCAACCAAAGTTTCATCAAACATTGTCAAGGGTCGTGAGAACACTAAGATTTCAGCTCAAACACTTGCTGGTTAATATATTTGAGCTAAACCATCCAGAGGACTTGAGGAGCAGCTCACCTTTTATGGCTAAGCCTGAACCAGACAACTCAGATTCTTCCCTTCCCCTACACAATGACTTTGAAGTTGGCTAGAAGTATGGTGGGTCCTACATTATTGATCATCGGGGCATCAGAGCTGAGCGTTCTGTTGACAGACAGAAGGTAGTTACACTGTTATTGTGGCACCATAACTTGTCACCCTTCAACTTTGCTTCCAGATACAGTTCTGTATTGTATTCCTTTTTTGAAAGCTGTGCTGAAAGTGGGAGCTTCACTACTTGTGCACAAAGAAATGTACTGTATATTCCCTTTATGTGTTTGCCTTAGGACAATTATTCGTTTACCTGTACTATATACAGTGGGGTATGCTATAACGAATCTAATTGGTTCTAGAACCTTGTTCGTTATAGCATTCGTTCTTTATAGGATTAATCCGTTCCAGGCCCCCAAATACAACCACTTAACACTGAAAAACATAATATTAAATTGTAAAAATTGTAAAAAAGTGCATAAATATGCATCTAAACCCTTGAAATAAAGAATATCATTAATATTTTTAATACAGAAACAATAAATTAGTAAAAAAAAAAAAAAAATTATAATGTTCGTTGTAGGAGTTTCGTTCGGTATAGCATTATCAATTTTATAGGTAAAACCGTTCGTTATAGGAATATTCGTAGTAGGATCCGTTCGTTATAGCATACCCCACTGTATATCTGTGTGTAGACACACACACACACACACACACATATTTACAATACTGGTAAAAGAAATTACTGTCTCTAGAACAAATGGCTCCCTGTCCCAGCCGCGAAAATGACGGCAACTTTAAAACTACTCACAGACATTCTTGGGTACATCTAGGGTGTCATCCGCAAATAATAAAGGACCACGAAATAAAAATCCACAAACTTGGGGGACCCCCTGTATATGGGTCTATAATGTTTTATTGTTGTAGTAGGGGGAAGTGCCTCGATAAGTCGGAATTTGGGAAAACTCGGCAAGGACAGAGCCCCACATGTGCCGAGTTATCGGGGATTTACTGTGTACACACATATATTATGTTAACATATACGCATTCATTCGTAATTTTAAATACATATACAGTGGGGTATGCTATAACGAACGGATCCTACTACGAATATTCCTATAACGAACGGTTTTACCTATAAAATTGAGAATGCTATAACGAACGAAACTCCTACAACGAACATTATTTTAATTTTTTTTTTCTAATTTATTGTTTTTTTATTACAAATATTAATGATATTCTTTATTTCAGGGGTTTAGATGCATATTTATGCACTTTTTTACAATTTTTACAATTTTATATTATATTTTTCAGTGTCAAGTGGTTGTATTTGGGGGCCTGGAACGGATTAATCCTATAACGAACGAATGCTATAACGAACAAGGTTCTAGAACCAATTAGATTCGTTGTAGCATACCCCACTGTACAACATAAACACGAGATTCCGTGAGGTTTCGGAAGCGGAGGATAGAGAAAACACACGTCTCGGTGGAGGGACTCAAGAAACTGGCGAGTGTAAACATCCCATAATTGACCCCCCGAAATATAAAAAATTTTGCATGCTGCATTCTAAATGATCTGAATTCCAGAATGTATGTCACACTTCTCCACTTATCATTCGAGAATGTATGTTGCCGTTATTGAGTTAAGCGGCCATAATCACTCTACTGTATTATGATATGCAGTAAACTGCTGATGCTGTATTTACTACATACATTTACATATTTCCCATCTCTGTTTAAACATCCCACAGGTTAGCATCACATCCACAGTGTTCTAAGAGCTAAGTAGATGTTCACCTTTAAAACATTGTTCTGTTACCAATAAGTGCTGTAATATGATTTTTGTAAGCAATTTACTGAAAATATGAATTTTCTTTAGTAAATACTGTACTATATCATTTGTGAAAGGCTTGTGTCATTGTGACCGCTACTTCAAGATGCTTCTAGAATTACAGACGATATATTGCCATTTAGTGGTATTCATGTGTAGGCATTACACCAGTAACTGATCACAGGGTCAAAATTCTTGGGCTGGTGTACATCTAAGTTTTTATCTTTTACTTCACTTTTATCCTCTTCACCACTGATCGGCTCGTTAGCCACTTGGGCGGTCGGTCACGTCTCTGTTAACCACTGTTGGCAAGTGCTGGGCGTGCACTGGCTCATGAATGTATATGAACCTGCTCCAGTGTTGGTCAAGTCTGGGGTTTGGGTTGAACACATCTCAACTTTTAACATGGGATCTTAGGGGAAATTGGTTCCCACTGAACAAGAATAAAACTCATTATCTCCATTATCGTCAACATTTTAGGGCCATTTTCCACATTGGAATGGATTACCTACGATTACCTGATGATAACTGTTGGGTAAAACTAATATGGGATGTAACCTCCTCCTCCCCCCCCCCCCAAGCCCAGGTACTGTACTGTACCAGCCAGGCAAATGCAGCAAAAGCAGGGGATAAATGTAGCTCTGGTGACCTTGTTGTCATCAGACAAATTAAAGTAAAAGATTTATTGCTGGATGCCTTTCTTAACACACCATCCCACAGAATGGGAACAGCTAGCAAGGCAAGGTCACAACTCCCTGGGGTAATCAAAGATTATACCGGCCTACCTAGCAAACACTTTTCAGGAACACATCAATTGTTAAGTGGAGCTCCTACTTGTAACTCACAAAAAGTGAACTTGTGGATACACAGAATTTACTGTATTTCCAGACAACTGTTTTTGAAAGTATTTATTTAAGTCTAATAAAAAATTAAGTTTTTCTTTTTAAATAATAAGTACAAATATTATGTCCAGGTTTCAAGATAAGAATTTAGAGTAATAGCTAAACTACCCAGGTTTTTACTATGTGGGTATCGTTTTTGTCAGTTCTGCCATCATTTGATAAAAAGTGTACAGTACCTACAGTACTAACATGGCCACCTTGAGAAGTTAGTAAGGGACTTGGTTGTTGTTGAGCTGTAACCATGAGGCCTCTACGAGAAGGTAGAATGGAATACAGGTTTTTTGTCAGACTTTTTGTTTTGCTTAATCCCCCCAACCCCCTAAAGCAAAAAATTTTAAAATTTGTACAGTAACCTTTATTAATACTTGCAGGTTTGGAAGAGGAAAAGAGTGTTGGTTTTCATGAACACATTTTCCTGGAGCAGCACCTGGAGGGTTGGTGTCCACGACGGGGACCTATCAGGCACTTTATGGAACTCGTATGTACGGGACTTTCTAAAAATCCCCACCTAACTGTTGAACGTAAACAAGCTCACATTCAGTGGTATAAAAACTATTTTGCCGAAAAGGAAGAAATACTGAAAGAAATTGGAGCAATAGAAACTTCCCAATAACACTTGGGAATTTTAAATTATTAAAATATTGTTGATTAGTAACCTAAAATTTTGTGGAAAATTAATTTGTTAATTTCTTTTAAGGATAGTCTCAGAAGAGACATGCTGTAATTATTTTATTTATTTTTATCATTGTCCTATTGTTTGAGCACAACAACTTTTAGGCAAGAAACCAAAAGTTATGTAATTTTCAACTTTAAGATTTAGATCTGCTGTCTTCAGAAGTACAGTACTCTCCAATGTTGCAGTTCCCATAATGGAGAATCCAACACTTACAAATAAAGTAAATTAATATACATTAGAGAGTTTTGTACAGTATTACAGGCTGGCAGAGTCAACAGCATGTCCAATCCCCTAGTTGATGCCATGCTCCTTAGTCATTTATGAAGTGTCTTTCCCCAATGTAGCCATCCCCTCCTTCTTTTGTGTCTTCCTCAATTCTATCTTCTTTCTATTTCCTTCATCAACCACATGTGAGTTATCTCTCTAAAACCCAACTTTTTCCTGATCCCTTTCTTCTCTCACCCGGTACAGTCAGACCATACATTACTTTTACCAAGAGTGTGATAGGGTTGCTGAGCGTGATTGTGACGTTATTTGCCTTTTTTATTATTTGAAAAAGTCAATTCATACTGAAAAGTAAATTGCATTTTGACAAGTGACAGAATGGGGTGACTGGTAGCTCCATGAATTACTGAAGTCTGTTATACCATGGGTACGTTATACGTGGAACTCCCATCTAATGTACTGTATATGGAGGTTTCACTGCACTACATTTCATCACTAATTAGATCACCACTCTTATTTAACTAATGATATTGCTCTTGTATGTAAAGAGTGATGTATTATGTTTCCAATTATTCAGAAAGTTTTCCTTGTAAAGTTATTATGAAAAAGGAAATAAATATAACTAACAATAATTGATCATTTAACAGTTTGTTAGGTAATGTCTTAAACGATGGGATACTGTATGTAAAGACACACATCACTCCATGAAGCAGCTAAATTCTTGCCTAAAAATTAATCTTCCCTAAGAAAAATAATTCAAATAACAATGAAGTAAAGTAAAGATCAACTGCAAAGTTTTTGAAAATTATTGCACATAAATTGGTGAAATGTTTAATGTTATCATTGTAAACTATGTAAATAAAACTAATTGTTTTAACCATAAATTTAACTTGTACATTATGTCCTTTCATAAGAACACAGCACACTAGTTGTCTAGTAGCAACACAATCATTAATCAGGTATTACAGTGGTAGTGAGCAGCGAGAAAGATGTAGATTATTGAGACAAGACACATCACCGCACACTAACTAAACATACCATCAGACAATACAATGGATCAGCAACACAAATTAAAGGAAGAACCTTTTCTTCGAAATTTGCATAACAATATAATAAGTGAAGAGCCACACAATCATATCCTATTATATATCATTTCACAACAAAACCAACAAACACTCACTGAACTGTACTTTGTATAATCCAGTTTTGTAAGAAAATGGACACTTGCACTATGTACCACATCATGAATATTCAGAAACTGAGTAACAGGACAGAAATGCTCACACTGTTATGCAATACTGTACTCGTAACACTAACCCAGTTACACCCATAAAGACCCGCGTAGTTAAAGTGCAGTGCTGTACATGTACTGTACTGTACTTTTAACGAATTATTACATAAACGTCACTAGATCCACTTCATATATGTATATAGAGTGGATTGTGTTCACACTCGGGGAGGAAGTGTGGTATGCTGTGAAGTGAGGAGCTAAGCCTAGTCAATGGAAATTAAATTTCAAGTACTGTAGAGCATTTAAATTGTTGCTAATAACTCTCAACATTATTTAAATTAAAGTGAAATGATTCAGATGAAGTAAAGGTTTGGATTACCGGTACTGAGGTACAGTACAGGGGTCCTGAGAACTTTCTTAAGTCGGAACATATGCTAAGTGCATACCGTACCGTACTTACAGATCAATGTTTAAAATCCCACTATATCATAACCTAAATCCTTATATACATCTAAAATCACTTAATTTAACACAAAAGAATAAATAGGATGACAAAATGCAGTAAATGAAAGTAAAAAATAAGTCACCAGGTAAATAAAATACCGTACCGTAAATTTCAAGTTTAACCCCGTTCGTGTTGGTGAGAGTTCATAAGTCGGGGACCCCTTGTAATGTGATTGAGTTGGTGTCCCATTTAATTTCCTGCTACATAAAAAAAAAAAAAAATCAAATCTCCAGTCATATTTACTGATATAACCAGGTCAAGGATTCTCTTGTAGTAACGTGTACATCTGAGAACAACATCAGACTGACTCATTTCGGGTAAAACAAAGCTGATTTATAATAACTTGGTGGATTATATCGTCCACAGTAAAAATTAAAATATCTAATATGCTTATCTTTGAGAACTGAGAATTTTTATCAAGAAAACTAATGGTGTTGATACTTACATGGACTTGCTGATGTTACTGAGGACTGGAGTGCCTGTGACTGACTCATAAGCATATATGATGACCAGGGAGGTGAAGGCAACAGTAGCCAAGATTTCTATCAGCAGACTCACATTGTCTGCTGATAGGTCAGTGTTTACCAACGTTGTTGCCAGTTCCAGACCCATAGTGCCAAGTTGTTCTATGAAAGTTAGGTACAAAAAAGTGGGATATCATTCAAAATGCCCAAAAACTTAGTGAGGAATATGGAATACAACATTTAAGAACATACTGTACAATATTCATAAGTCAAGATCGCACAGTAATGCAGAGGAAACAGCGCAAAGAAATCCTTGTGAGTTTCAAGCAAAATAGAAAGGTATTGATGGATCCCCCAGCCCTACAGCCTCTCACCCAGGAAGAGGTGCACACACCATATAAATAATGATATATCTGATCACACCCCACACAGTATGGTGAGTATAGTAAAAGAGGTGCAGTATACATCTGCTGAGAATGGAGACCAGATCCACTTCTAAGTTTGGAGCCACTACTGAGGACTATTTCTGGTATTTAAGTCATGTATACAAATACTGACACTTTCCTCTATAAGATAGCAGAGTTTGAATGCAATAAAGATCCATCAACCTGATACAGTTGGTGAATATTACCAGCATACTGTAGTGTGTAAAGCACTAAGAACATTACACAAGGTGCCATGATTGAACATCTACTACAAAACAACCTAGTAAAGGACTACCAACATGGTTTTGTGCCGGGACGCTCCTGTTAACGTAATTTATAAGGTGCTGTATACAGATTCAGGAGTGTGGTGGCAATATTGATGATATATATATATATATATACTGTATATATATATATATATATATATATATATATATATATATATATATATATATATATATATATATATATATATATATATATATATATATATATATATATATATATATATATATATATATATATATATATATATATATATATATATATATATATAGACTTTGCTAAGGCTTTTGACAGCATAACTAATGAAAGATTGAAAATTAAACTGGAAGGCTCCAGAATTTGGGGGAGCATCATAGCGTGGATCAAAAATTGTGTTTGTCACCCCAAGTAATGAGTGAAGATTAATGGCACAAAGTTATCATGTGTACTAATGACAAGTGGGTTACCACAGGACAGTGTACTGAGACAGGTTGCTTTTATTGTTTCACAAACCGGTATGCCAGAAGCTTACACTCCTCCATACAAATGTTTGCGGACGATGCTAAGTTATTCTGGAAAATTGAGAACCAAACAGACTGTGAACACCTACAGAAACATCTCTGTCAGCTTCAGGATTGGTCAAAGGAGGCATATCACATGTCCCAACAGGGCGAAGAAGCATCATTAAGTGAGTTCAGATGTAAAAAGGACCTGGGTGTGTATGTTGACAACGAACTGAAGGTCTTGGGCCACTTTGAAAGAAGGTAAACTAAGCAAGTAAGTCTTAAAGAAAGGTGGTCACATAACTAAACGGTCCAACCCTCACAATGCTCCTCCACATTGAGGTGCTTCCCAGTTTGGAGTCTTGTACTGTCACCCCGTTTGGTCCCCGAGATATGCTAGAGACTGTCAGTTGTTTGAAAATGTCTAAAGGACCAGACATTGATGCCTGCACTACTGCACCTCAGGCACGCAGAGAAACTGAAATGCCTTCAATTGCTTAGCTTATACTATAGGTGGGCAAGGGGTGACTTAGAAGTTTACAAACACCTCAGTGGACATTACTCAGTCGAGAGTTCATACTGGCAGGTGCCCGCCCCACTAGGGGTCACAAATTTTAAGTTTTAGGGTAAAAAAAATTAAATTAGCTCACAATCTCAGCATAGGCAGTCCACGACATGCTGATTAAAGATCTATGGTCGAAATTTTGAAAATAATTTGTCTTAATTGGAGTTCAATAAAACTCGCTGCACAAACTTGTACTGAAACTACCGGTGAACTCTAACAAGAGCATAGAGATAAATCTGCAATATAGGAAATGAGGATAAATCTGCAGTTATTAAACGGTCAATGCTCAACACATACAGGTTGTCTGAGTTAAGTAGCGTGTATTAACAACACTTGTTCACCATGCTCGACTCGCCCGCATACTGTACTTGTGACGTTCACCCTAAATGTCTCATCCCTGCCCCCATTTTTTTTTCTGAGAACTCTTCCCTGTCTCTCATTACCTCCCCGCCAGACATTTTTTTTAATGTAATCATCTGTGAGGTGAAATTTCCCTTATCCGTGTGAGAGTTGTGGAAGGATTGCGGTAGAGGAGCCACATGTTACTTTCCTTTAGAGAGTTACTGCCGTCAGGGTAGTTGTCAATAATGCCTCAATTTCCAAGTAAAACAAATTATCAAAGTAAATATCTGCAATACGGGTACATTATTTTATTGGCTAATATTTACGGTATCATGCATATAGAAAAACACGACAAGAAACCATCTTACTTTAATTTTTAACATAAAGCGTAATCATCCTCCGGGTGGGGCTGTTATATTCTTCTGCCAGAGCTATGAGCAAGTGTGTGGTGATCGACGGCGTCTACACACGTGCACACACAAAAAAATAGGAAAATTAAACAAGTTTGAGAAATTATTCATTATTTTCAAGACTCTGCTAGGCTTTCTTCTGCCTTGTTCTACAATATTAGAGACTCTTGGGAGTGACATTGTGTTGTACTTTATAAGAGAAAATTTTAATAATATCTGTTACTTTACCTTTTGTCTCTGATAAATATTGAGGAAATACGTTTAAAATAGTAAAGCCAGTGTTACCAATCTGAGGAGTTGATGATGAAGGGGTAAAGACTATTCAGGGCCGGATTAACCATGAGGCACTTGAGGCACTGGCCTCAGGCCCCCCTACTCTAAGAGGCCCCCAAATGCAAACATTCTCGAAGTTGAAGCATATAAAACATGAACTTCGTTCAACGATGTCTTAGCAACGTCTCAATTTTCTGTCTCTTATGAACATTGAATGTGTTATTTTGCAGAAGCTTAATATTGATGATTGATAAATATATATATATATATATATATATCATGTAAATCCACAATGAAAACGTGGATAAGATAAATCTTGATAAAATCACACGGGAAAATGGAAACAACGGAGCACCTTAGCTTTCGTCTTTATTCAAGACATCTTCAGAGGCAACTGGATTACATGGACAGAGAGAGGCTTAAATATACAGGGTGACCTTAAAAACATGAGGTCAGGTCATAATGATGTCATCCACTAATCCCCACACCAACACACACGTAGAGGAGCTTAAGAGAAGGGGGGTGACGTGACTAGTCAGGTCACGCACTGTTTTTCCAGGCCGTAGGTCCGGGCTTGCAAGTACCCCTAGGTCTCTTTCACAAGTCGACTTCTCTAGGTTGATGTTGTTAAGGCTGTATACATTGTCAGTATTTGTTCTTCCAATATTAAGTACGCTGCACTTGCTGGTGTTGAATTTCATTTGCCATTATTCAGACCACCCCTGCAGTTTATTCAGATCCTCCTGTAATGCATTTGCATCCTGCCCTGAATTAATCTGCCGCCCTATTTTGGTGTCATCCGCAAACTTGCTTATGTCACTGCTGATCCCAGTATCAAGATCGTTTATGTAGCTTATGAACAAGAGTGGGCCTAATACTGACCCCTGGGGAACCCCACTTGTTACACGGCCCCACTCAGATTTAACACCATCTACGCTGACCCTCTGTGTTCTATCGGTGAGCCATGATTTTATCCAATTTAAAACTTTCCCCTCGATACCATGAGCCTTAATTTTTCTCAGAAGCCTCTGATGCGGTACTCTGTCAAATGCTTTGCTAAAGTCTAAGTAAATAACATCGTAATTTTCGTCATTATCTACTACCTCGAAGACTTTCCTAAAAAACGTCAGCAGATTTGTTTTGACAAGATTTTCCCTTTGTAAACCCATGTTGCGAGCCGTAGATCAATTTGCCTTTCTCTAGATGCGATCGGATGCTATCTGCTATAATTGATTCACTAAATTTCCCCACTACTGACGTCAAACTGATCGGCCGGTAATTTGACGCTGATGCTCTGTCTCCCTTTTTGAATATGGGTACTACATTTGCCTGTTTCCACAAGTCTGGCACAACTCCCGCGTCTAATGATTTTGTAAATAAATTTACAAGGGATCCGCTAATCTGTTCCCTTCACTCTTTTAAGACTCGAGGGAAAATTTCATCCTGCCCTGGGGATTTTGTCTTCTTTAGTTTATTTATCCTCTTAAGAACATCCTCTTTTCTGATAGTGATATTCCTTAATTTCACTTCTTCCTTTCCCCTAAATATCAGTTCCACCTCTGGAATTTCCTCGCGAATTTCTTCTGTGAAAACTGATAAGTAGTAGGTGTTCAATGCTTTGCTTATTTCTTCACTGCCATTTATCATTTCTTCCCTCCCTGACTTTAAAGGCCCAACTTTGTCCTTGACTTTTGCTCTATATACCTGGAAAGGCCTAGGAGTGTGGAGTGACACTATACAGTACATAGCAACACCACCACCACCTTTAGGAAATTACTTCACCATACCCTGACTTGCACCTTCTCTCTTCTTACAATTTGTTTACATGACTCAACAAACGTGACGTAATGGTACACCAATCCTGCACTATACCGGGAATGACAAAAATTAAGTGAACTTGACTTGCCAGTGTCGTGTCCTTCACTTAATGCTTTACTATAACTAGTAACTTAATCACACTGGGGACACTCTGTTTCGCTCAGATCTCAGATATGTACAGTGTATGTCAGGCTCAAAGAACAAAAATTAACCACAACGCGTTGTGGTTGTTTGTAAAATAACCAGAAAGCTAAATTTTGCTACAGGTTAGGTAACGTTAGGTTAGGTTACGTTTGTTTGGGTTGTGTTTGATTAGGTGTGTTGAAATTGGGTCAGGTTAGGTTAGATTGCATCCGGTAAAACCCAAGACGCAAAATTTCGTTTTCTGGTTCTTTTGAAAATATCCACAACGCGTTGTGATCGTTTTCGTTCTTTGAGTCTAACATGTTCATTAGATTGATTCTTATTGAAGCGTTTTTAATAGTCCACATATGGTTGTGGAGGAGACAACATGAGGTTATATTTCACACGTTGAGGGATATGAACAATGCTGACATGACGTTCTCATAGTGAAGTGTTCGCTCTCTCGCCGGACAGTGGCCTAGTTTGCGGACAACTTAACCACCGTGTTCCGGTTTCTTTAGACATACGCTCTCATTATGCTCACCAGATGGTACGTAACGTAACCCCAATATTACAATTGGTTACTCACTTCACTCTTGAGGCTCCGCCCCCTTGAGCGATCCTTTATGTAAAAGCCCAAAAACTGAATCGAGTCGTGACGGTGTTCAACAGGTCTCTGTAATAACGTTACTGTTATGGCTCAATGACCCCAAGTTTAACACTATGATTAGCGACGTCTGGCAGGGTGACTGTGGTACAGTGTTTAAAGACGTCACTATTATGGCCCTGCCCCCCCCCCCTCCAGAGATCTTAAGTTTACTGTAATAATAAGCTGAACGAGGCGCGCGACGTGATGACCGAGGCGGAGTGTGAGGTCCAAGTTATTGTGTTTGAGTAGCTGCCGTGAATCTGGCACTTCCCGCTCCGTCCTCCTGATGTACACACGTTGTTGCTCTTCAGGTGGTCGTCCCCGCGGCTGACATGAGTCAACTGACGGGTGAGTTGTGATTTTTTTAACATGATTTCGTTAAGCATACTTTATAATTATATTAGAAACACTTTTACATGTCGAATGTTAAAAACTACTTAAGGTTATTCAGTATCAGTAATATTGATATTAGTTAAGTCTTTAATGAAGAGTATTCTTATATTACAAGCATCACACACACAGTGTGTATATATATATATATATATATATATATATATATATATATATATATATGTATATGAAGTTAAACAATGCCCAAAACATCATTATCTGTATTTAAATTATTCCAAGAAGTAAGTGATGATAATTACCAGACACAGAGAGGTAGTGGTGGTGAGTACAATACATTAAAACTCTCAAGGCTGAAGTGAGACTGATCCAGAGTGTGAGGGAACAAATGCTTTGGCAGAGGAGAACTTTATATAGTAACCAATACAGTGTAGAACACTTAGTGGTAAGAGGACTTGGTAGTAGTGAGTAAAGAAGAGTGTTTATCATGTCCACCATTTATCGCTTTGTTACAGTACAGTGTTACTAACCTGCCGTGTTTAGTTAAGATACAGTGTTAGTAAACCTGCCGTGTTTAGTTAATATACAGTGTTAGTAAACCTGCCGTGTTTTGTTAAGATACAGTGTTAGTAAACCTGCCGTGTTTAGTTTAGATACAGTGTTAGTAAACCTGCCGTGTTTAGTTAAGATACAGTGTTAGTAAACCTGCCGTGTTTAGTTTAGATACTGTTAGTAAACCTGCCGTGTTTAGTTAAGATACAGTGTTAGTAAACCTGCCGTGTTGACCCTGCCGTGTTTAGTTTAGATACAGTGTTAGTAAACCTGCCGTGTTTAGTTAGATACAGTGTTTTAAACCTGCCGTGTTTAGTTTAGATACAGTGTTAGTAAACCTGCCGTGTTTAGTTAAGATACAGTGTTAGTAAACCTGCCGTGTTTAGTTAAGATACAGTGTTAGTAAACCTGCCGTGTTTAGTTTAGATACAGTGTTAGTAAACCTGCCGTGTTTAGTTAAGATACAGTGTTAGTAAACCTGCCGTGTTTAGTTAAGATACAGTGTTAGTAAACCTGCCGTGTTTAGTTAAGATACAGTGTTAGTAAACCTGCCGTGTTTAGTTAAGATACAGTGTTAGTAAACCTGCCGTGTTTAGTTTAGATACAGTGTTAGTAAACCTGCCGTGTTTAGTTAAGGTTCACACTGGTCAACATCTTCACACTTAACCCAACGATTCGAACCCATGATTGCATTGCTCAGGTGGCGAGACCGGTAAACTGAACCACCACTAACCTTCTACACGTTTGTTAAACCAACCAACTAATGCTGAAAAATAGTTAAATTACAATGTTTACAATACGACCGGCAAATACCACACCCCTTATCCTAACCCACACCCCATACCGTGACCCACACCCCATATCCTAACCCACAACCCATACACCTGACCCACACCTCATACCCTAACCTACCTTGTCATCCTCATCCTTACCTTCCCCACCTTGTCATCCTCATCCTTACCTTCCCCACCTTGTCATCCTCATCCTTACCTTCCCCACCTTGTCATCCTCATCCTTACCTTCCCCACCTTGTCATCCTCATCCTTACCTTCCCCACCTTGTCATCCTCATCCTTACCTTCCCCACCTTGTCATCCTCGTCCTTACCTTCCCCACCTTGTCATCCTCATCCTTACCTTCCCCACCTTGTCATCCTCATCCTTACCTTCCCCCACCTTGTCATCCTCATCCTTACCTTCCCCCACCTTGTCATCCTCATCCTTACCTTCCCCACCTTGTCATCCTCATCCTTACCTTCCCACCTTGTCATCCTCGTCCTTACCTTCCCCACCTTGTCATCCTCATCCTTTACCTTCCCCACCTTGTCATCCTCGTCCTTACCTTCCCCACCTTGTCATCCTCGTCCTTACCTTTACCTTGTCATCCCTCGTCCTTACCTTCCCCACCTTGTCATCCTCATCCTTGCTTCCCCCACCTTGTCATCCTCATCCTTACCTTCCCCACCTTGTCATCCTCATCCTTACCTTCTCCATGATCTATTAGTCTCCTTGCCGTCGTCTTGTTTACTCAGACCCCCCCCCTTCACATCATACCTGATCTTCCTCATGTCATAATCTTCCTCCATTTCTGATGTCTACCCCTCTCCCTTCCTCCTCCTCTCCCCCTCATCTCCCCCCACCAACTCTTGGCCCTCAGCAGATGGCCAGAAGTCCCAGTTTTCCCGTTGTGAAATTATAATGAAGAGCGACAAAGAATTGGCCCAAAGTGCATTTTAGTGTTACGTTCATCGACCTCTTTATAATGCTGAGTGAACAACCGGGCCAAGTGGGGAGCAAACGTTCTGTCAGCGCTCAATTATCAGTCATTAAATATATAAGTTTTTTGCAGTAATATATACCAGCTGTTATAGTTAGTGGTTAAAGATAAAAAAATAAAGTAAAACAAATCATCAACATGAATCACGTGTTTGGTGAGTCCTACTTATGGCTAATGTTAAAAAAAATGACAAAAATATATATAACAGATTTAAACCTCAGTTGTCTGGACTCAACAGTTAATCTGGGTCATGTTATCGACTTGTCATGTGTACATTAACAACATGAGCCTGTGCTGGCAGCCTCCACCACCTTACCACCAGTATTAAGTGATGAACTACAGTATCGAATTATTTGGTTCACTACTTCCAATACATTCTCATCCTCCACCCCATCCTTGTCCTCCACCCATCCTTGTCCTCCACCCATCCTTGTCCTCCACCCATCCTTGTCCTCCACCCCATCCTTGTCCTCCACCCATCCTTGTCCTCCATCCCATCCTTGTCCTCCACCTTGTCTTTGTCCTCCGCTCCTCCCTTATCCTCCACCCCAGCCTTGTCCTCCGCCCCATCATCATCCTCCATCCCATCCTAGTCCTACACCCCACCATCATCCTCCATCCCACCCTTTTCCTCCACTCCTCCTTTATTCTCCACCCCATCCTTGTCCTCCATCCCACCCTTGTCCTCCATCCCACCCTTGTCCTCCATCCCATCCTTGTCCTCCACCATCCTTGTCCTCCACCCCATCCTTGTCCTCCACCCCATCCTTGTCCTCAACCCATCCTTGTCCTCCAACCCATCCTTGTCCTGCACATCCTTGTCCTACACCCCATCCTTGTCCCACCCCATCCTTGTCCTCCACCCCATCCTTGTCCTCCACCCCATCCTTGTCCTCACCCCATCCTTGTCCTCCACCTCATCCTTGTCCCACCCCAGCCTTGTCCTCCCCCCCAGCTTGTCCTCCACCCCATCCTCCCACCCCAGCCTTGTCCTCCACCCCATCCGTCCCACACCCCCACCCTTGTCCTCCACCCCAGCCTTGTCCTCCACCCCATCCTTGTCCTCCACCCCATCCTTGTCCTCCACCCCATCCTTGTCCTCCACCCCATCCTTGTCCTCAACCCCATCCTTGTCCTCCACCTTGTCCTCCACCCCATCCTTGTCCTGCACCCATCCTTGTCTTCCACCCCATCCTTGTCCACACCCGCCTTGTCCTGCCCCATCCTTGTCCTCCACCCCATCCTTGTCCTTCCACCCCAGCCTTGTCCTGCAAATCCTTGTCCTCCACCTCATCCTTGTCCACACCCCAGCCTTGTCCCATCCCATCTTGTCCACTAGCCTTGTCCTCCACCTCATCCTTGTCCTCCACCTCATCCTTGTCCTCCACCCCATCCTTGTCCTCCACCCCATCCTTGTCCTCCACCCATCCTTGTCCTCCACCCCAGCCTTGTCTCCACCTCATCCTTGTCCTCCACCCCAGCCTTGTCCTCCACCCATCCTTGTCCACACCCAGCCTTGTCCTCCACCTCATCCTTGTCCTCCACCCCATCCTTGTCCTACATCATTGTCCTCCACCCCATGTCCACCTTGTCCTCCACCTCATCCTTGTCCTCCACCCCAGCCTTGTCCTCACCCCATCCTTGTCCACCCCAGCCTTGTCCTCCACCTCATCCTTGTCCTCCACCCCATCCTTGTCCTGCCCATCCTTGTCCTCCACCCATCCTTGTCCCACCCCAGCCTTGTCCTCCACCCCAGCCTTGTCCTGCACCCATTCTTGTCCCACCACCCTTGTCCTCCACCCCAGCCTTGTCCTCCACCCCATCCTTGTCCCCACACCCACCCTTGTCCCCACCCCAGCCTTGTCCTCACCCCCATCCTTGTCCTCCACCTCACCCTTGTCCTCCACCCCATCCTTGTCCTGCACCCCATCCTTGTCCTCCACCCCATCCTTGTCCCCACCCCATCCTTGTCCTCCACCTCACCCTTGTCCTCCACCCATCCTTGTCCTCCACCTCACCCTTGTTCTACCCCATCCTTGTCCCCCACTCAATCCTTGTCCTCCACCACACCCTTGTCCTCCACCCCATCCTTGTCCTCCACCCCATCTTTGTCCTCCACCTCATCATCATCCTCCAACTCATCAGTCTTCCACTCCAACCTGGACCTCCACCACACCCTCATCCTCCACCCCATCCTTGCCCCCCCACCTCATCCTTGTCCTCCATTCCACGCTTATCCTCTCTCCTCCTTATCCTCCACCCCATCCTTGTCCTCCTCCTGTTGCGTTCCTCTGTTCCCTTATCCTCCACCCCATACTTGCCCTCGGCTCCATCCCTGCCCTTCCTCACCCTTATCCATGCTCCATCCTTGCCCTCCACTTCATCCTTGCCCTCCACTCCACCCTTGTCCTTCACCCCATCATCATCATCCACTTCACCCCATCTTCATCCTTCACTCTATCCTTGTCCACCACCCCATCATTATTTTCTGCCCCATCCTTGTCCTCCACCTCATCATCATCCTCCCTCCCATTCTTGTCCTCCTCATCGTCATCATCCACCGCATGGTCATCCTCACCCAATCCTTGTCCTCTACCCCAACCTTCTCCTTCACCCCAACGTCATCCTCCACCCCATTCTTGTCCTCCAACCGTGTCCTCCACCTCATCGTCA